CAATAATGGATCTCCGTGCCTCTGAGACCAAAATTCATTAGAAATCTATCAAGCTTGTCGCAATTCTGAGTGTAACTAAACCTACAAATTAACCCAACACAGCAGCAGGATTAAATATATGGATTTGTGCTGCAGTTACAACTATTGGGCATGGCCTCTAAACACTCTGAGGCTTTGGGTTTTACTCAAACGCAGAGCAGAGGAGAAAGCAGAGGACTCGAATGAGCAGGATTAGTCTTAGAGTGCTCTCAAGGAGAATGTAAAAGAGCTGAGCAATTAGAAGTCCTCATCAGTGTATCGTAACTCAATAGTTATTAAGATCTGTCGATGTAATGACTTATGAGATTCCTTGAAGAATGTGTCCTGTACAGAGATATTCATACACAGAATATTGCTACAGAAGAAAGGTTGGAAAAACAGGTGATGTCAAAACAAATGATCTTCATTATTAGAACCGTGAATCAGATCATCCCTTTGAGCAACGAGACGAGCACACAAAGACAGCAGAGGCCGTAAAATTCACTCTCATATATTTAACCCAAAGCAGTGAGGATCTCAAGAACCTCAGTTTCTGTGATAAAATGTACAAGCAAAGAAATATCGAATTTCAGAGACAAGCGTATTACATACTCTTGAGATTTGAATGTGTACTGTATACAAACAAGATTATGACAGAACTTTCTGGCCATACTGAATAGAACCAAATGAAAACAAAAATACAAAAGTCGATTTCAAATAAAAGCAGTTTTTCACAAAATAGCTGAATGTAAAATGGTAGCCAATTGTGTGACTGAACAAATAAATAGTAATAGGAATCTTAAAGGTAACATATTCTCCTCCTTTTCATCAAGTTGAAATACGTTTTTATAAGAGCTCCCCAAAACATGTGCATGACATTTATTGTTCTAAATCCACTCTGATCCTGTATTTGATCATGTCTATAAAGCCCTCTATTTCAGCCCTGCTCAGAACAGGCTATTTCTGTGTCTGTACCTTTAAATATGTAAATTAGCTGTGTCTGACCACACCCCCTCTCTGGAAGGGCTTGTGTGGCTTATTCTCTCTTAGTCTCACCATGTCCTGTTACGGTGAGAAGGCAGACTCAGAGGGCAGAACAAACACCTAGCTGTGGGAGTGTCACTACTTGGGGGAGGGGTTACTGCCCTTTGTGATGTCATAAAGGGAAAATCTCCAAACGGCCTGTTTGAAAAGTGGAGCAGGCAAAAGACAGAGAGGATGGACTTTCATTATAATTGGGGGGTTTGTAGACACACTAGGGACACACATTAGTGTTAGATAACATGGTGAAGCGGATTTTAATATGTGACCTTCAAGAAGGCATGAAACCTGCAAGTTCACAATATATTAGCATTCTCTCCAAAGCCTCACTTCCAACGGTAAAACATGCAATTTTCTCTCCACGTTAGCGTTTCACTTTAATGTTTTAAAGTTGGCATCAGTTACGTTAAGCATTTTCTGCTGTTATAAAATGATGATCCAACTCAGAAAACAAGTCTTCTTTTTAATGTGAAATATCCCTGCAATGCGGCTTAACCATGATCCAAACATATGGGTGTTAAAAAGGGCTAAAACCTGTGAAGCCATTGAGGTGTGTCATTGTTGTGGCAGCATTATCCACAGAAAGTTCATCAGACATATTGGATACCTGTCTGGTCTTAGTTGTTTACAGTATTTACATTTAGATATCAGACATAATATGACAGTGATGTAATGATGCATGCTACTTTGTGGCATAACGACAATTGAACTACATCATGAATGTGTAAGCATTGTGACACAACACAGACATAAATCATAATCTACAGCAACACATTCATTATTTCAATACAGCAAAAAAAAAAAACTCATCAGTGTTCTCGTGTAATATGATCCACTAGGGGCAAAGTGTCAGTGTTCCAAGAAAAAAAAAAAATCAAATCAAAAATATCTTATTTGTCCTTCGTCATCTTCTTAAAGGGCTTCAGTCCAAAAGCCTTTGAAGCCATAAGGGTAAGCAGTTATTCTTCTTCTTGATGGACAAATCGCCAAAGCAGTGGTTATTGCCGTCTTTAAAAAAAGCGTTTATACTATAAAACAGTGCGCTCAATGCACGTCATCGTCTAATATCTAAAATCAAGTTTTACATCTTCACTGGCAGGAGTTGCCTCAATGTCCCATATGAGCACTCCTTATAGAGCGCCTATCGCCGCATGTGTGCGTTAGGATGGAGAGTGAACACATCAGAATCCGCCATCTTGATCCTGCAAGCTACTGTAAGAACTATTCAAGCACACCAATGCACTGCACTCGTCTTCCAGCTCGGATGACTTGCATGGATCAGGGAGCAGCAACAACACAACACATGTATGTTCACATCAAGCAGAGAAAGGGCTCAGTCAGCCGCGGTCGTCTTGCACACACTAACATGGACACTATGTTACTATAAATATCTCTCCTGAAACATTCCTCATCTTAAATCTAAATCTGAATTCTCCTTTTGATCCTGTAACCATGTCATCGTAGGAATGAGGAACAGACCGCACAATCACAATAAATCCTCTTTGTTCCATACGTTGTGTGAGGACACTTGGACTGAAAGTTCAACAAGTCTGACTCTATAATAGTGTTGAAGCTGGTTATTATCAGTGATATATACGTATTAGAGGATATGGCCACCTCGGCTCAAGCCTTCAGTGGAGCAATGTCTATCCGTTATTACCGTTATTAATGAAAAGATACACGCACCTTTACAGTTTCCAAAATGTTTAAAAGTTATACAAAATCTCCCTCTAAATCTGTAACTGTTAGTTTGAAGTAGCTTTAATGCTGTGGTTAGTTCAACACCAGGATAATGTGTGTTTTTTAAGTAGTCAGCACAATTACAGTAGGTAAGGCCGGCCTGCATTAAAAAAATAGAGTTACCTTTAAGAAAAATACAGGTAAGGTCCACACCGCAGTATCAGTCTGTTTAATGACAAAGCCAAGAATAGCCGTATGTGATCTAATGAAGGACCGTGTTTGAAACTGTTAATGACGTTTTCATGATTTAGTCTGTCTTTCTAAGAGAGCCCGACCGATAATATCGGCCAATACTAGCACATCAAGTGACTGTCAGTATCGGCTTATTTTGTCTACGATATGTGCCAATATAAGTAGGTTTATTCAATTTAAGCTTTTTACATTTGTATAATTTATTTTTTTAACAGTTGTTCATTTCTTATTTTTTAAGTTAGTGCTTCAGCACACTGTTGTTACTCTGGCCAATAAAGGCTTTTTTTTCCACTGTTAAAAAGAATAATTTTCTTTTAATTTTAGATATTTTTCCCAAATGTGTGATAACAGCACTTGAGTGTGTTTTTATCAATCGCTCTCTAAAGATCAAGGATAGGTCGAAGAAAGATATCGGTCAATATATCAGTATCAGTATCGGCCACAAAATCTAATATCGGTCAGGCTCTACTTTTTGAAGTTAACAGCTGATGATGCCGCAGAGTCAAATAATGAAGTCAGGGGGTCCCAGGGGTGGGTATAAGACTTTAAATGTCTTGACCTAAGTGTCAAAAGTTAGTATATTTTGTTTACAGAACATTAACCTCCAACGATGGGTTCCCCTTAAACACAACAAAAAAACAATCCAATTGCATGATGGCAAATGTTGGTTATCTCTAGCACTGTTCTAAGGTAAAAGTCTCGGCCTCTTGTATCTAAAATCCTCTCTGATCTGACAGATTTAAAAAGATATTTTAAATCCAAGCTTCCTGGTAGCACAACACTAAAGTGCTGAACATTTTGTTGTATTCATGTAAATAATAATCATCATTCCTACTCTATTAAATATGTATCAATGTATATTTATGCCAGCAAAGGCAAAGACTATAATCTAAGACACGCACTTGATCATGTTGTGATATTCACTGAACACTAGACAACAACTTAGTGGTGAGGAGAGAGAAAACAGTTCAGAGAAAAGTGTCATCTCTACCACTCCATTGCTACTTTGAGTGATTCAAGTTAAGTGTTGGATTCTAACGAGCTCTAACATATGCAAGAAAATTAAATGAAGGTTCAATAAACTCGGTCAAAAGGATCAGCCGACATGAACCGACAGCTCGAGAAGAAGAGACGATGTCGGCTCATCGAGGTCAAATATAAAGCTGTCATGTCGTGAAACATGCACAGATACGTCGCTCTGTTTGGCTACAGTTTGACTCCAAAAGACGGTGAAAATGTCGAGAGGCTTTGCTCTGAAACACACGTGTTAATATATGACATCCCTGATGGCTATAACCTTCCACTGAAGACAGCTGTGTGCGGAGGCCTCCGACTCTGATCTACAGCACGTTGCCAACACTGGGTACAATTCTAGGTATTAAATGACGGATGGATTTAACCTGAGTTTATACAACAGTCAATACGAAATACATTTATACTTTAAGTAAAATAAAACTGTTACATATGAAACTCTCTAGTTAAATATCTAGATTTTTGCTTATAGATAGAGATGCTGGAAATCTATTCTCTAATACTTCAGTAAGCACTTTGTTTATTTACATATAAGCTCTACTTCCTTTATGGTTCACTTCCACACCTGACAAAGACGACACTCCCATCCTAGAATCCTTCACCTTTAAAAAAAACAACCTCCACTTTAAACTCCAAGAGGAGAAGTTCTTTCTGTTCTCTGCTGTCACTCTTTCAACCTGACATCCTCTCTGAATTCAGGAATCTAACTCTAGTTAGCGTCTTCTGACACATTTAGGCTAGGATGATGAGTCCCCCGTTTCTACTCCTTTTTCTTGTCCTTTTCTTTCGCTATTCGCTGAGAAATAGGCAGAAAGTGAAAATGGATAAGGGAGAAAAAACTACTCCACTGAATCTACAGGGTCACCCTGTCACCTTTGAAGGGGGGGGGGGGAAGACCCAGCTGTGCTGCTGCTCCAGCAGGGCTTTCACAGAGCCAGTCCAGAGGCCTCTCAGGGGCCCTTCAACCAAAAGCGCTGTCACCCCACAGCAGGCTCAGAGAAGAGATCACCGGCCGACAGGCCAACAAAAGGAGGGCCAAGTCACAAGAGGTCATCGTAGTCCAGCATCTTGGAGTGCTGACGGCTTTTCCACAGGCGGAACAGACGGAAGTCAAAGTACATCTCGATCATCTCTTTGCCTGCAGCCAGAAGATAACACAAAGAGAACAAGTGTAAGGTTAGCAAAAAATGGAATATGGAATGTCAGCTCACACCAACACACTGAATTGTTTACGACGCATGACCTAAGCTCACGATTTATGAGCTCACATTGATTGTTGTGCACGACCTGAGAGAATCTAAATCTGGACAGAGGGAGGGAGCATTCATAGAAAACTCCAGCACAACGTGCTCTCTCTCTCTCTCTCTCTCTCTCTCTCTCTCTCTCTCCTCTCTCTCTCTCTCTCTCTCACACACAATCTGTATCACGAGTCAACACAAGCTAAAAAGCAGCTAAATTATATATTGCCTGTCAACTGGAGGTCCTCGGATATTTCTGCCATAGTTTCTTTGGAGGGGGGAGAAAGATAAAAAGGGCATGCCTGCTGTTGCCATGGTGATTTCAGACGCCGTCTGTCAGTTTGTGCAGGTAAAATCAGAACAAAGTCCAAGATTGTGTGCAGTCGCACGACCACTATATCAAACATGTTAATAATTTCATCCGGCTGATGGAGAGCAGCTGTACAAATGGTGACCGGCCCGGCATGCTTCAGTGTAAAATGCACAACTGATGCTGGGCGACCGGGGTGAAATTTGGCCTGACCTTAAAATTAGTTGAGGATCTAATTGGCCTGAAATCTACAGCTTTAAGCGATGATTACTTGTGAAAATAATCAACGGCCCAATCCATAAAGAAAATACCGTAATCATTATTTTAGATATTTTAATAGTCATCTATCAAGCTGCTGCTTCACAGTAATGTAAATATATTTAATCATTGACAAGAAAAACGCATTTTAACATTATTTAAAAGTAAAAAGAGAAAGCTCACAGTCCTACTATGCACTCTAATTGTCCTGCTTTACAGCGATGTCCCACAGGTTCATCTGAGGTATTTCATCAATTCTGTAATCCCCGCCTGCGGCTTCTATCAGACATTGATGTTTTAAGGGTTGACCTAAGGTATTAAACTAATTACATTTTCATTTTTTTTCTGATTCAGTCTTGTCAGACTATAAAGCTCATCAGTGCTGAATGCTTCTTGTGGGCTTGTGTCCACTGAGCAGAGAGTGGTGAGTCAATAAATGATATTAAAACTCATAGAGGACTTAATGACATTTTAAACAGAAAGAAATCACAAGCGTGGCATCAATACATGTCAGGAAGATGACTGATGAGGAATGCTTTAAGAGATCAGCCGAGTTCATGTCTAATCACGTGCTTTCTTCATCGCAGTGCATCGTACTGGTATTGATTAATTACCACTATTAATGTGAAGCTGATCATGCAATATGTGCAAGCTGGGGGGAGTTCACTTACAGCACAGGTGGGACAAACACACAAAATGTGTTCAGAAATGTGACACGTGTGTGTGTGTGTCTGTGTGTGTGTGTGTGTGTGTATGTGTTAGCAATAATTTGCAATTGTGTGTGTGTAGTGTTCTCACCCTGTGCAGACAGCTCAAGTGGGGACTTGAATTCAACTGAAGAGGGTCTCATCAGCCTCTTCAGAGTCTGAATCAGCTGCAGAGATAAAGGGACGGAGACAGAAGGAGGAGTTAGAGAGAAATGATACTTGAGTCCATATAGCACCAGGCATCTTCAAATAAAAGCTGTTGTTCTCAGAGAGCAGACAGAGGCCATGCAGCCGACTGTCTGTGAGGTGGAAGGTCAATGTGCCACTTAAAATTGCAATGGCTGAGTAAAGGGAGAAGCCCTTCAGACAGCTACAGGCCTGGACAGAGCAAGATTACATTCAGAGTTGTAGAGGACAAACACCTTAAGTCCTTCAGGAGTTATGGATTATAAAACCTTTTTCTCTTCGGCTGTTCCCAATTTCATAAAAAATAAAAAATAAAAAAATAAAATAAAGAATTTCCCCTCATGGGATTAATAAAGGATAAATTATGTGTTTATCCAGCTCTGCATGGGTCTGTAAACCTTTCTGTGTTCTAACCTCTCTCCATTTTTCAAAAGCATCTCCAATATTGATCCTAGTTTGAGCACGTTTCTGCTCGTGGAGCTTATTAGAAACATGCAGAGGCTTTTTAGGTCAGGTACAATCACTTCTATCTGAACCACTTCTCTTGCTGCTTCCATCACTGCAACACCTGTTGGTTTACCGTTTGCCTGGCAAACCCAGGGCAACCAAAACAGAACAGTGGGGTTTCTTAAAATTGCCTACCTTCTCTGGTCCAAACAAATCCAGAGCATTCAGGAGCAGAATCTAAAGTTAGAAGGAGGACATACTGGCTGCTGCATTGTTGTCAGAGAAGCCAGCACTTCAACAGAGCATGTTTCCTTAATGTCTGATCATATAGTAAGATAATTTTATCATTTCAGTCAGTAGATTATTGTACATATTAGAGCTTTAATCAGCATCTCTCTATTTGTTCAGTCGATAAAATAAGTCATCTTCAAATCAATAAATAATTTACAAATCAATGTTTTGTTTCATTTGTTTCAATGGTTGGTCTCCTAAGCAAGTAGCTGGGATAAAGTAAGCAAGTTGTTGTCACCAAGGAACACAGCGAAACGCCTCTGTTCATGTCGGGATTCTATTCTGTGACACAAACCCGCTCACTGAAGATTATCACTTCCTGTTTTCCCTCTCGTGTCTGTGACTGAAGAACAATGTTTTCCTTGGATCATTTCATAAGTTTCTTTTTACAGTTCCTCTTTTTGTCCTTGAACAGATAAAACAGGTGGAAAGTTAAGCAGTTTACAACCCTTCCCATTTTCAGGCAAAGGTCTGAAGTACCGTTAGACGACTGCTGTAGTGCATCCAGTGTTGTAGCACCAGATGAAACATCAACCTGTCCTTTCAAAACACCTATTCCGTGTATCTACCACACGTGTTCATGTGTGCACCCACAGGACTGTCACACCCGATGACACTCTTGTCTTTGGCACCCTACACACTTTTCACTTTTACTGCCTCCTTGTTGCAGCTTGCCCGCCCCTCCTCTCTCTCCCTGGGGTCTGGTCCAGTGCCAGCTGGTGTGCCATCCCACATAGAGCCGAGAAGCCGAGTGACATTCACAGGTTTGTTTCCACGCGGCTTTGCTGTGCATTAGTCAGTTTAAAGAGCTTTTTTTTCTTTGGAAAAATGAGTCCAGAGAAGAAATGTAATCACTTTATGGTCAACTCAACTTAGTGGGAATGGTGTCTTTTTGATAAAGATACATGGACCTACATTTACATGTTCTATTTCACATGAAAATGTTACTTTTTATGCTTTATAAACCATTTTTTTCTCTCCTAAAAGTCCAACATTTCAGGGATTACATTGTTGCTACATACACACCAATAGCAACAAGTGCGAGGTCATTTACAGCAAGCTTTTCTCTATAGTGTAAACAGACACGCAGGGTGACCCAGGACCCAAAACAAAGCAGAGGGGCCTGGGATTCAAACGACGCCTTAGCCAGGCACAATCTCTTTCTGGAGTCTTGTGTCATTGCTGCAGGTGCCTGTCGGATTTAATTTCGTATTCCTTGACATAAAGAGGATGAAAAATGTTCTCGCCATAAATAAACAAGTGGAAGGGGAAGAAAAGTGACAGGCAGAGGCCATCTCTCCCTGAGTGTGTATTCTTCATGTTCTTCATCACTCAGGCTGTTTCTCTCTGTTGATACTGCTCGAACACTGCATTTGAACAAGGGGATCATGTGGAAGAAATACGGTCGGCTGATGTTAATGGTGTTACTGAGTGCATGTGAGTAGTTTTAGATGACAGAACTGACCAGAGAGTATACATGTGATGCTAACCCCACCCGCTCTGATGCTTACCCTGGACATTTGAGGTTTTACAGACCATCAATGGAGCATGACTTTTGACGATGGGGTAAGCTGGGCAAATAACCTCTGAGCAATTTATAATATTTCACTAGAGCAGCAAATCTGTTCTAATTTCCCTCGGTGCATTTGTTAAGACTCTGGATTTTTAGCTTAAAACAGTAAAAAAAAAAAAAAAAAAAAAAAAAAAAAGGATTTATGATAACACAGCTTAAAATGCTAAATAATTTAGATCATAGTTAACAGTTAGCATACTGTACACATGCCATATTAGCCAGAATGCCTATTTTGTTCTCAAAGCTATGTATGCAAAGCTGCTGTATGACAAGGGAGCTAAGCTGACCCAGGGATGTAAATAGATCATCAGAAGTTAACCCTAAATTCCTGCGTCTAACCGAAAGACGACCATCTTTGTTGTTCTTTGCCTGGCTGTCAGTCATCACCCACTGCATTCATACCTGGCCCACAGACAACGACAACTCCGGGTGTAAACAGCCAATAGCTGCCATGTGAGTGTTTTTCTATGATTGGATCATTATGTAATAACTGGATCAGGCAAGTTAACAGAAACTGAAATGACAATATTTTCAATTAATTATAAGACCCATGTGTTACATATAGCTAGAAGGCTAATGTAGCTTTGTGTTGGGAGTTGCTTCAAACTATGTTAGTTAAAGATGAACTTCTTTGTCTCCCTAGCTTTTTGTGTTGCACAGATGCTTTGTGAAGTTCCTCGCGTATAAATAAAGTTATTTGAATGGACTTGATTCACCTGTCTGAATCCATACTTTGCTTTAAGGTTGTTGTTTTTTTAGAGTTTCAGAGTTTGCATGTATGGGGTTTTATCATTTAAAACTGTTACACAGCAGCACAAGTAAAGTTAAATATCTGCAGATAAAAGTGACACAGACAACTGAAGATTACGACACAGCTTTGATTCAAAGAGATTTAGAAAGTACAATCATTCATGGAGAAGCAGCTTCTGGAGGTCGACTGAGTGGTACAGATTGTGAGTGTGTGTTCGTGGTAAGATGCACTTCATATTTGAAGTGGATTCACTCATTAATGGACTCTGATTCACAGAAATACTCTCAGAGATAAGGACTAGATACTCAACCTGCTGGATAAGCTGATAGAGCGGCATAGTCATCTTTCTTTGCACTGAATATTTATGTAGAGACTGCTGTTCAGTCCACTTCTGTTTATCTTCCTGTATCTGAGAGAGATCTCTGTCATATTGAATTTTGTTCTCAGTCGTTGGCTTCTTATCGGGCTGTTCTCAAACCTGCAGCGTGTTTGCATGATACAACTTCTCGGGGAAAAAACAGATACAACATCTGTTTGTGTAAGGAGGAGGAGAACTTAAACCTAAAAGTGCCAGTGAATAATGCAAAGGAAAAGGTCCTCTGGGTGAAACCTAGCTGTTTCCATTTGTTTCAAGGCGAGCATTATCCTGTTACTGAATGGAGCTCTTACTACAGAAAGCAGTGTTGAAAATGAAGCCAATGCAGAAGTGCGAAAAATGCAGTTCATCTAGTGTCCACTTGAGGCTTTGCTAAGTAAGCCCCTGGAGTCACATACACACTCATAATAAAGGAGGAATGTGTGACTTTTTGATCCAGTAGATGTTGACCCTTGAGCACCAGCATGAAACCAAAAACAGACTGCTGTTTGGAGACACCTCTGCTGTTCTGAAGCCTCCGCTTTCCTCCACCTTCAACCCCTCTCCATTCGAGTTTACACAAAGGAGTTATGAATAAGAACGCACCATAATTAAGCACCATTAAGCGCAAGTGGTTGAAAAAAATTGTCCTTTGCTCGAGCTGCAATCACCTGTGTCCTACATTGTTGTGTTAGCATGCTAATGTTAGCACTCTTTGGTTAACTCGTAGCTTCATATTGAATATATATTGGCACTGAATGACCAAGATCTAAAAACACTTATGTGAAATCCAAACAAGCAGTGAGTATGTTATTCTTCTTCTCTCTAGTCCTTGACTAAAACAACTTTATACGCAACGATGTCCCGTCCATGTAAACAAGATGTAAACTCGGCTCTGACAACAACACAGCAGGCGGGACTCGAGCTTCTCACTCATTGTAGACAGTCATGACTCAGAGACACATTTACACAGGATAGACTTGATTTCTGCTGTATTCATAAGTAAAATGCTGCACATTCTACCTTTTTTTTTATAACTCATCAGTTTTGGTCACACTGAGGCCAAGAGTTGCTGTAACGCCAATCAGCCCTCAACCTGTCACACAACACGTGTGATTGATTCACTCTACACAGAGCTATCGAACAGATTCCTTTTCTCTTTTAAGGAAAACAAGCTCTCCTCCTGCGTTTGACTTCAGCAGTGTGAGGCAGCTAGCAGAGCTATAGGGAGTGATGCTGGGTGGAGTGGAGCATCATCTGAAGGTAGCTCCGTCAGTCAGTCTATTAATAGTGACTCTCCAGCTGAGCTTGCAGGAGCGCACACACAGGCAGCAGCGGGGGGATATTTGTTAAATGCAGCGGATAAGCCCTTCTAGGTTCAACCCTCCTCCTCGTGCGACTTGAACTGAATCACTGAAGAGAAGATGCCGAATGTCACAGTGACTATCACGGTGCACTGCTAGTACTTCCTTATACTCAGAAGGTACAGGCTTAAAATGAGGTGTTGTACATGTGGAACAACCAGACTTTGGGATAATTAATTTATCTTTTTCAAATGTATTCTACATTGGGTTTTAAATGCGATAAATAAAGATGCATGCAAGAGATAAATGTTCATGCATTAGATTCCCTCAATAAAACATGAAACCCCTTAACCCACAAACCTCACTGACCTCTTTAAGCTTTAAGTCATATTTTACAGACCCTTAAAGGCTAAATATTTTCCCATCAGCCGTCTAGCTTTTAATTTTTTTGATTCAGTCAGATTTATTCAGACTGATTCAGAATTTCTGACGGCATTAATATTTCACCATGAGGAAAAAACAGAACAAGCAAACAGCACAGCATCTGTGTGCACACAAAGCTGTGTTGAAGAAACATGTTCTGACTTCCAGCTCAAAGGCTTTCAAAATAAGACAACGTGGTTACCTCTCTAAGAGCCCGTAACAGCCGGGGGAGGGGAAGTCATGTTCACCCATATATACACCATCTGGTTAGATTTTCTACACAATGCAGTGGAGTCAAGAAGAATTTCTGAAGGTGTTGTTGAAATTTGGATAGAAACCTGACCAATGATTAATGATGTTCAAACATCACTGAATATGTATTAAACTACATGATATGATAGGTAAAAGACCTTACTCTTTGTTATATGCTATAGACATGCTATAGCATCATCCCCATTCACCTGCTGGACTGCACTCTCATTGCTCCAGGACTAACTGGGCCTGAGCACAGTTACCTCTTGTACAAAACGTTGTGATACAACACATGCATGGCTTTATGTGATAATGAAGTGTGCTGAGTTTACAAGACAGACGATTGAAAATAAAAAAGAGATGCCGTCGAGTCCTCGTCTTTACATCGGAGAACCACACAGAGAACATGACAGCTACTTTACTGACTTTGTGGCTTATTTTGAGTCATGTTAGTCACATACAGACATAATAACACTCTGGGACTTCTCCATAATGAAGGCTGTCCACGTTGTGTTCCCGTGCTTGTGCTCATGCATGAACCGTACCGTGCAGAAGCACACCTCTTCAAAGCGTGCCAGGGACAAGGAAAGTGTACAGTACTTTGAGCACGGATCAGAGCACTCACACTAGTCAAACAAACTGGACTTAAGGGGTGAAGCGTGCTTAAACACGGCACAGATCGCCTAGCGTGAGTGCGCCCTGTGTCAGTGTCTTTACTTCACTCAAAGCCTCATACTGCATTCAGCGCTTCATGTTTAACCATTGAGGTCAAGAGGTACACAAGTATAAAATATACATTTACTAACCCTGCACGTAGGCTGACTATATTCAGGGTAATAATTCACATCAATCTTTGTGGAGCTGGCAGAAGCAGCTAGTTTCTACCAACCAAAGTGCAGCTGCAGCCTATGAGTTGTACTGTGGTTCTGGAAGAGGCTGCACGTGAGAGCATGAAGATTTGAGTGAGTGGGCAGGTTCATGTGCATACGCTGTGTGTGTGTCTGCATACAGCAAGAGTGCATCTGTCTCTGCGGGGGTGGAAGGGTCGTTGCAGGGTTGCTGGAGAAGATGCCAGAGTGTGTATTATTTTACCTTTCATAGCACACACAGAGCTGCTAATTATTTCATTATTATACAATGCATATGCAGAAAGTGCCCTTGCATCAACTCCTAACGCACTGCAAGACTCTACAACAGTCCAGGACGAAGCCAACAGATTGTCTTAATGATTTATCTGTATGGTGCTGCGATGGCATATGGCTTTGAGCATCTGTGTGCATATTTGTGATTATGAGTAAGCAAGCTGCTTAAACACGTCAACATTTTCGGTAAACTTTTGCTCTAATAACTCGTGTGTGGGAGTACAATTTGTTTTTTAAGCCTTTGCAGTGACTCAGAATTCAAAAGATAAACTACCTTTTCTCCATTAGCGCTCCCCAGCACATAGCAGCCCATGATGTGGATGAGGTTAGGCTCCGGGTTCAGTTTACTCATCAGCTTACTGAGACGTCTCCAGAACCTTCACACACAGGAGAGAGGCGAGAGGTTAAGACACGGCAACAATAAGTGTGGTAAGAGGGGAAAAACAAGGAGCGAGAGAAGTGAGTTGGGTTGAGGTCAGAGCTAAACGATGGTTATGTGACTGCGAGTGTGAGTAAACAGGAAATAGTTCTGATTCTTAAAGAACTCTGAGTCACTTTGTGGTGGGAGATTTTCATCACACGCTTTTCATCAAAGCAATCATTCAAATGTTATTCACACATTTGGGTGTGAAAGGGTAAAAGGAAAAGCTGTATCCCTGAACTACACATCCATTACTCTCTTTTTAAATGCTTGTGTTTCTAATAGCTGACATTAAAGTTAAATTCAGGTACAAAAAAAAAAACACATGCAATGTTTCCGGTTAAACTTCTCTTGAGATGAAACTGGATTTTTTTTCTGTAAGTATTCCTTGCAGGGGTCATGCCAGAAATATTTTGATGGTGTTTTTTCATGATATTTCATTCATAGGGCTTTCACACTTGCATTAAACTCCTACGAAGCTGTGTGAACGCAAACAGCAGAATTTGTCACTCGGAATTCACCCGGAGTTTCTCCTGCCAGACCCCTACTATTTTTTTTCCACAGCAAGTCAGAGTAAGCTGATGGGAGAGCGCCGCAGGATATATTTTCAGGTAATTTACCTCGAGCCAATAGGAGGGGAGAGCATATGTCGTCTTTTTCATTTTTTTTCCACAGGGGGGGTGTGTCGTTTTTTCCGACATAGGTACAGTATGTACAGTGATAGTCTCCTGTGAGGTGCACATGTTCATGCACGGCCTGCTGCCACCTCCACCTCAGGGGCAAAAAGGAGAAATCCTTCCTGCATATTATCCCATATGCTCTTAGTAAAGCGTCTTGAGGTAACACTTGGTGCTATACAAATAATGATTGATTGACTGATATGTGAACAGTCAGGTCGGGAGAATCTCCGGAGCAGTCCTCATGAAATTATCTGGATATTTTCAGGAGTGCATATGCGAAAAACAGCTTCAGACTTATTCTGCACTCAGAGGTGTTCCTTTATTTTGAACAACAAAGCCCTTCTCCAATTGTATGTCCTTCCATCGTGATGCTCAAAAGACAATGGTCAGCTAGCTGTTAAAGGTCCTTCATGTGTCCGTCCTTGAATGTGGTCGTATAAGCATGATAAGCGTCTGTGAACTCTAAACAATATTGATTAAAAGTCCCTTCTTTAATGCAGAATGAGAAAGCATTCTGTTAAACACTTAACTCTGTGGTTTTGTTAAATGATCTTCTCTGCATCATTCCACATGATAAAATGCATTCACTCTTACTGTATCATGTCGTCCTCTTTCTCAACCTTGGCAAAGGTGGCCACTTTATTCTTCAGCAGGTACAGATGTCCCGGACCTCCCTGTGGAGAGGAGATTGTGTTACCGCAGAATCAAGTTGATCTCATCCTGTCATATTACCCAGAATTCACATGGAGCTCAGCGTTAAGTTTAAGCAGGGAGGAATGTTCACTCACACGTTCATTCATTTTCATTTTTCTTCATTTCAGTTAACCACTCCCTCTCTTCCTTTTCCTCCGTTCTCCTGCTCTGGTGATCAGCTGATTATTGGTGTTTACTGTTTAAGTAATCATCCGACCAGATTCTGCCACAACCTCTCTCGACCAATCATCCTGCTGCTGTCACATTTTAAAACCTGTTTGCTCTCTTCTGCAGTCAGTTTGTCATTTCAGTGTGATCACTGCGACCCTCCTCCGCCCGACCCTGGTTCAGCTTAAGAATCCCACTCCTCATCACATCCTGCATTCTTCTATCACCACCACCACCAGGGTCTAGACTCCATGGGGGGGGGGGGGGGGACCTCATTACCCCTCTGAGTGCATGAAGTCATAATGACGGAGTCTAATCACCAAGACATTGCACATTTACCTTTTCCTTAATTGCTAAATAATCATGAACTCTTAACTGAGTCTCTCCTGATTGAAATGCTCTGGAGCACTGATGATGGTTTGCAAACAAGCGGGGTGGAAATAAGATCTTAATTACACATAACAATACAAGCTCTCACATGATATTTGATTTGAGCTGTGTCACAAATGAAGTCTGCATGTGACAGCAGCAGGTGAGGTGAGGTGCACATTTGTGTGGATCGAGTTTTTTTAGTTCCTTGAAATTGAAATCACTCGACTATGTATTTCAAAATATGATATGAATCTTTATATGTCCAAGTTACTTTAATTGGATAGGACAGCTGAGGAGAGAGGAGATGTTGGAGGGAGAGAGAGACGAGGACTATAGCCTCTGAACATGGGGAACAACAGAACCGAACCGGCGCTGCTTGTATTAAAATTTTTGCAGTAGATAAAACATTTGAGATTCAACCCATAAACTCACAAAACCTCATTCATATCTTTATACAACCTCTGAGTCACACTTTAACGACCTTTAAAGGTCAGATATGTTCACATTTTCTACATCATTCACATATTTTAATATCTCCATCATTTATTTTTTTATTTAGCAGCTCTGTTTGCCCCTCAAGCGATGACTATACAGTGAAATGTGCGAGCCTGACTCATTTAAAGGAAAAGGTGACCCAACAATGTCACAATGTTCTTTTGTGACTCCTGTCACTCACCTGGCAAAAAATTAGCATGTTCCAGATTTTACAGCCCTTCCTGTACGCAGTCAGCTTCTTCTCGATCTCCTCTGGGCGAGAGACAGTCAGAGAGAGAGAGAGAGAGAGAGAGGTGTCACTTCACCACTTAGCTGTAATGTTGAGACACATAAATTGGCTGTCCCTTCAGAGACAAACACACACACACACACACACACACACACACACACACGCGCACATGCACACACACACACACACACATGCGCACACACACACATGCACACACACACACACACACACACACACACACACACACAAACAATGAGTCATTCTGCTCTCCAGCAAGCCGAAACTTATTCCACCTTCATCTTTTCCACATTAACACCACAGGAGTAATTTTCACTTGACACCTAAAGTTGGACTCGCACGTCACACTCACCGAGTATGTCATCAAACGTGGCGTGTTCGTGGTCCTTCACATGGGAAGACAGAAGAAGAAAGAATTCAATCATTAAACTGATTTTCCATGCTGAACGTTATTTCATGTACGGTCACTGCTGGACTCTAAATGTGTCAAACACTCTTCTGCGACCGCTGATATTTCACAGCTTCAGTCAGTCATCATCTCTGCCTCTCCATCCACCAGGACGCTGATTCACAACTTCCAGTTTAGTTTGAAGCCAGTGATCATCAACTGGCGGCCCACTGGACACCTTTGAAATGCCTCATTGTTGATGAAATATGCTATATGATAAATAAGCCCAGTTGTTGGATGTTCATGTTTAAAGTGAATATTTTTAGGAGGTGTTCGCACATCATCTCATGAAGTCGGTGCATCGGACATTGAACCGTTCTTATTTTACAAGACAGGCCGACTCGAAGTCTGCACATCGGAGAACAACTCAGAGAACATGACGGCTACGTTACTGACTGTATGTCTTAATTTGGTCTTTAGTCAGAAACAGCCAGAACACTCCAGGATTCCTTGATAATGGAGGCTGTGTGCACCTGTGCTTGTGCTCGTGCATGAACTGTACTGTTTGGAAGCTATCACTATCACGATGAAAATAAAAAAAACCCTCCACACTACTCATATCAAGCATCATCAATGTATCAGAAAGAAATCACAACGTCTTGGTGGAAATGTTGGATTTTTTGAATTGTTTGAATTGTTGATGCTTGACAAGAGTTTATTTTTATTTTTATCATGAAGTAAATATGGAAATGTTTATAATATCATATCATATTTAACAATATAGATCATGCAACCAGACTGATTTATCATTTGACTGATATTATTTAAGAACCATTTGAGCCTGTTGCTGATATATTGGTAATTGGTGTGCATGTTTTCCAAATATGTGCTGATATATATATAACAAAAACTGAAAATAAGCAGCAGAAAAACAGAGGATGTTTGTTGTTGTTTGTTTGTTTGAGTAAGTGCTGACGCTCAAAAACGGAGCAAATGGGTTTCATTAACATCAACGAGGTCTGATGAAGAGCAGGTTAACGTCACCCTGGTGAAACACATTACTGGGACACTGGAGCCTTGCAGGGTGCGAGCCGTCTTTCTCTTTGACGACACCAAAACAAAACAATGTAAAAAAAACAATGTGCTTATAGAGAGTAGTTATGTAACACTTGTATGCACAATCACCTCATAACACCGGTCCCATCAGTTACTGTACCAAAGTCTAATTTACATGAGAATATTTTGACTTTAAAGGCGAGCTCACATTCAGGCTCAGTCATAGGTCATAGGTCATAGGTCATTTGATGGGCTCTAATTGATGCCTAAAGTCTTGTGCATGTGTGTATGTTTGACCCCGGTATAGCCAGGATGTAAGAACAGCTGTTTCAGCTTCAGCATCTAATATCTGACGTTGTTTCTCTACAACTATTAAAACATTTTCAAACAAAATAAAGCACACATGTTGCCTGTCTGACACAATGAGGCCGTGACTTATTATGTAGGTGGTGTGAACCTGTGGATAGATGCTACTCACATAAAGAATGGGGATGATGGAGGGGTCGTCCCTACGGATGATGTTGGGAACGTATTCAGCCTTTGGGACTTTGGAGGATATCAGCTGTGGAGATAGGAGACATGCACAGAGAACCTTAACACTGTTGGGCTGCCTCACATGGTGAAATGATAAGAATGTTTATTTTGTGTTTTGTTTTAAGAGAGTAAAAAAGAGAGCCTATTGCAGGTTACGCACCATGATTTTAGGTGGGATGAAGTCCTCTCCTTCACAGGCGGCTCTTTCCATCTCCCTCTCATCCCCCCAGTCCGTGTCCTCGCTCAGCCCTTCGTCTAGTGTCCCTGAGGAGGTCTGAAGATCACCACCTGGCTCACACACACACACACACACACACACACACACACACACACACACACACACACAGGAACAAAGGGAGAGATGAAAGGATAGCCTCCGAATGAGATTCGAGAGGAGGGTGCTCCATTTAAAAGCGGTGCACCTGTTACTTTATCTTCCAGTTCAGGGGGGAGGAACGCTGATAAAATCAGACTACACTAAACGATGACATGAGCCTACGTCACAGAGCTACAGATAGATGAACAACAGGTCGAGAGACGAGGAACAGGTGTGTGGATGGAAGGAAACAGCTGAGAAGAGACTCACAGAATAAGACCAGAGAGAGTGTATGTGTTTAATGTGCGGCTCAGAGTTCATCACTAAGTTTGTCGGCCTCCAGGGTGAATTCACAAAGAGTTAATCGTGGCCGTTATTGACCATACATTTCTCGTCAACAATGGAGAAGGAGGGTGTCCACTCACTGTCTCTGGAGTCGTGAAGGGAATCAGGCTTGACGGGGGTGGGGTCACTCCAGGAGCGGCTGAAACTCTTGCTCGGCGCTCGGCGAAGGCTGATGAAGTGAGAGAGGAGGAGAGTCACTCAAAGGCGCACACAATGACACATCTCAGACAAAAAAAATCTTTAACTATGCCCCGTGAAGTTCCATGCATGGAGCGAGCACGTGTTATTTCTGAAGAAACCTAAACAAAACAAGTCGACCACAAATGCATAAAAACACACATGCAATGCAAACAAATGGTTCAACTTACTCTGGACCTTCACCCTGCGGCTGCCCACCATCCTAAGGTGTTTGCGGAAGTTTCTACCATTTTTTTTAGAAAAGAGAGAGGGAGAAGACAGAGACATCAAGAATTAGTAACAGATCAGAGGAAGAGAGCCAGAGAAAAAAGAATCCATCAAACTTCAACACACAAATGCAAAAAGGGGGAATACTGGAGAAACAAACTTACTCCTATAGACCATACTGAAGAAGTGAACATAGAAACAGGTACATCTCTCATTGGGTAGTGCACTACTTTTTGAAAACCTTGATGACATCACAATTTTTTTCAACTCAAGCGACTTGCTAGATTCAACAAATACTTTTGGACATTTTGCAGCAATAATGAAACTTCCTTTGGAGAGACATGGGCAGGCACTCTGTACCTGAGAAAGAAAGCCTTTAAGTGATGTCCTCTGAGGAAAATCTGACACTGACCCAATCTAACAAATAGTCAAACTGGGCACTGGTATACAACTTGAGCAGCACCAGTATTTGGTTTTCCTTGGTATCTGGATTGGGCACTTTCAGTGGGTTTTGCATGCCAATGCAAATAAACAAAAACATCATCCCACTGCCACCCTTGCACAAGTAAAGCCAGGTGAAAACTTGGCTTGCCTTTGAAGTAAACATGATAAGTGTGCTCACTCATATTAGGTGTAGCCAGGGGTGAAAGGAATTTTAAATGCATGCCGGTTCTACTAACACAACCTTCGTACTTCACCTCTCCACGGACTCATGGTCTAAATGTACTTGTGTAAAAATCAAACCCCGACAAATATAAAACGCACCCTTTCACATGCTGTGTTTATTAAGTAAAAGAAAGACAGTTACAGAGCCATCCCTGACCGTCTCCTCACACACCGTTTGAGCTGATGTCCGTGTAGTTAGAATAAAACAGAATATCGTGAAACATCACAACTTCTGTGTTCTGCTTCACATTTCACTTGGGAGATTCAGAAACAAACGTCTGCCTGCCAAAAAACACACCAGCACTGGATTCCAGTCAGCTGCGCCATGCCGGAAGCTCAAGCTCACGTTAACTAGCAGCGATAAAAGGCAGCTGGGTTGCATCCAGCACGACTTAAAAGCAGCAGAGAGAGCCTAGAAGCAATTTGAAAGCAGTTAAAATGGAGAGACACAGAGTGTTTTTCAGATATTAGCAGATGTGTTTTCTAACTGAAAGTGCGACCAAGCTGGTTTTGAATGTTGGTTTTGGCAGGCAGCTGCTCCCCCCTCCTTCCAGTACTTCATACCGCCACTGACTCTCCAATTGGTATGCAGTACCGACCCTTACCCACCTACTTTCACCCCTGGGTGTAGCATAGAAAAGTTGTTAACCTTTTTGTCATAAACCATTTATTTTGTACACTTATCTATCTTGCTAGCTCTGGTACCCGTTGCTCTGATGAGTGTTACATAATGCATAATGTTCAACGTTCCCAACGACAGTGTGATCAAAATAACCCAGGGTGTCCATTGCTGAGCAACTTTCTGGTGTTCCTGACACTTTGAATTTTTGAACTAAACAACAAATCTTGATAATCAGATGTTAATTTTATTTAATTTTTTTACTTTACAAAGGCTGAGTGTTTGAAGTAACTGACGTATAAAACTCTTCCCAAACCTTTTTCATAATCTCATGACCCATTCAAATGAAGACATATTATTTAATACATCTTCTATTTTATGTATTAAAAATCTGTGGCTGCTCTACAATCTTTAGTTGACTCTCCTTCCTCTTCATATTCCCTTTCCGTCTCTGCTCAGTTGGGTTTTCTGCTCGGCATAACTTACAGGGTCATGACCCCTGATCACCAACAAAGCCGTTGTATGAATCATTAAGTGTACCACTGACAGAAGGAGTGGGACTTATAGTCAGCAAAAAAAAAAGGAAAAGGAAAGGTAACAGCATAAGGAAACAGCCCTAAGTGGCAGCAACATGAGCAAAGTGCGGTCTAAAATAACGCCTTTTTATTATTCATCAAGTAGTTTATGAGTTTGACAATGTGCTGCAGGTAGGCCTCGCACTTCCCTACATTTTGTCACTTAAGCCCGAATATGTGATTCTTTAGCTGAAGCTCTGTATGAGGTCAAGAGCTTCTTGCAGCAAAAAAAGTCCTGCCTTAATCCAGAGAGTTTCAAATGTACTGGCGTTATTGAACTGTTTGCTAATGTTAGCATCCTAGCAGAAGTTTTCCATCTCAACAGGTGAGATTCAATGTATTTTACACATGACCTTCAGCTTGCTCATTAATCAACCCTAAAGTACCCTCAGGGTCTACAAGAAAATAATCCCAAATTTACATCAGGAGGGATCTTAGCTGAGGCTTTAAGTCGATTTATTATTGATTAAAACTGATATGGACTCGACAGGTTGACATGTATCCGGTTGAGAGTTGTGACATCATGAGAAGTAGGTGAACAGGATGTGGATACATGTGAAGCTCTAATTTAGTTAAAATAGATGTTTCATTAAAACTCCGTTGAGGATCTTTAAGTTCCATTGTGGCGCCCTGGGCAAGGCTGCATGTCTTATCTCTTTGCTGGTCTGGTTGTGTACTGGTCCTGCTTTCTTTGAACAGTATCAACATCACTTCCTGGGACTCTTTGCTGCTGAAAATGTAAGAAAAAGGCAGTTTCTGCAGCATGCTCATACTCGCCCTGTCTGACACCTCGCCTGTGGGAGGTGTTTCATGCATTCAAGATAACTACATAGACAGTTCATCTTAAACATGATGGTCTGGTTTGCTTTAGTAAGGCAATGAGGGATTAAAAATATTTATTTCAGTCTTTTTCATAACAAGCTAAAAACTCCTCTGAGAAGCTATAAATGAATCACGGGTGTTTTGCACTGATTGTGTCATCAAGATTATTTATCAATTTTCTTTTCTTAATTATCATATTTAGCTCTGCTGCTGTCAGTATCTTCCTTGCCTTTATAAGGAGGCAGCTTCATATGCAGAATCCCAAAGGACTCTTTCAGCCATCTCAAAGGAAATGTCTAATGTCCATGTAGCAGGTACGCTTCATGTCTGTCTGCACATTTCTGCAAATAGATAGACAAAATAAGCAACAACAGATGGATGTGTATGCTGAGTTTTGCTGCTCGTCCTGTGCTGATATCTTAAAGCCAACCTGATGACAGTGCTTTATTAACACATCAGACGTTGACAGTCTGCAGAACTGTAGGGTCACATTTCCTGACTGTATTTTTTTTTTTTTTTTTTGAGATATTTTGTCCATAAAGCAAAGAAGATAACGGGCGATGTGAGGGTTATTTTTCATTGTTACAAAGATAAAATTGACACAGTTAAAAATAGATTCTTGAGTTCTGTCTCACACAAATCTGTGGTGAACCTAAACAGTTGAAGACTTCTGTGATTGGTCCACAACCTCAGGACTTTTTGTTTGTTTCAGGGACAATTAAATTCATTTAGATATTCTTAAATGTAAGTTACCGCTTCCATTCAAACATGTAAACTCTTTATAGAGCAGGATCAATGAATTAGATATTTCTATCCATGCACCCATTATCTTTACTGCTCTTCCCTTTCGGGGTCATGGGGGGCTGGAGCTGTCATTGGGTGAGAGGCGAGGTACAATCGGGACTGGTCGCCAGTCAATCACAGGGCAGACATACAGAGACAGACAATCAGCCACACCAACAACATGCATGTCTTTGGACTGTGGGAGACAGAGACACATGCACAGAGAGAACATTCAAACTCCATACAGAGAGGCTCCTGTACGACGGGGATGTATGTGTCTCTTTAAATGCAATGAGCCTGCTCTGAGTTTTCCCCGTAGACATCACTCCTTCGCTATAGTGAGAATAAAAATGGTAGAGGTAGGGAGGGGATTTTTTTTTAACAGAATCCCACTGTGACATCACAAGGAGAGCACATTTTAAACTGAGCACTTTTCTCTGTGTTGTAAGACTTATGCAGACCACAAACAAAGGACTGGATGGGTTTATTTCACATTTTGTGGGTTGGTAGACACTCAGGTTACACAAATATATGTTCAAAAACAGTCAAAGTGGATTTTTCATAATATGCCACTTGATATTTGTTGCATTTAAAATGCATTCATAGAAAGAATGCAGAAGTTCCACCTTCCCACTCTTCCTTCTTCCCGACAACGTCAAACACCAAATGACATCGACATCAGTCTGAGTTACCCTCACACCGAGTCAGAGGTTTGTCAAAGTGTCACAGTTATACGCTCAAGTATTTCATTTCAAACTATTTCTCTTCCCAAGATTGCAGTTTGAAGGCATTCTACAAAAAAACATGTTGACATTAATTGCAAGAACTGTGAAGGCAGAGCCTGAAATAGAAGGATGAGTCAGACGAAGGAGGATCCTTCAGTCAGACGGGTTCTACTTTTATACTTAGTGACACAAGCTTTAGAGTCTCTGACGCCCACATATTAATGCGGGCTTATCGAATATGTTGGTGTGTGTGCTGCTCTCTGAACCGAGCCTCTCAGTCCTGCTGTGACCTTTACAAACTCTTGGCAAAAGAAATGTCTTGCTCATTCAGACATGCATAATTGGATTATTACTATTAAAGGCATTCTAAAGGAATGTGACACCGACATATGCAGGCAAACACACACACACACACACACACACACACACACACACACACACACACACACACACACACACACACACACACACACACACTATGTCAAACAACAGAAGATATATCTGAGCCCTGGAGAAAGGGAGGTCTAATCCCAAACATCGATCTATCTATTATAGACTGTGATCCAACCATGTATTAATAAAGCCGTGTTTACACGTCAACATGTCAGTGAGAAACTCTGATTTAACCACACACAGCTTCCAGAGATCAAAGCACCTACACGCATACACACACCTATGTAAATTGTACCTCACAAGGTTTGTGATAGCCCTGAGTTAGTTCTGCCATCAGGAGTACGAGGAATGTTTTATAACTTGTGTTAAAGAATAATAACTAGTCACTTATCATGGCGTAACTACGGAAGCCCTGAGAGGCAAATGAGAAAAAAGTTAACCTACATTATAAAAACAGGTAAACATTTCTGCAGATGAGAAAAAAAGAGTTACTTACTTCACCTGTCAAACATTATGTTTTTCCGCTTGTATTGTCTAAAAAGAGGTTAAGTAAATAAAGTTCCTGGGAACATTGATTTTAACTTTAACTTTGAGACATAAAAATGCAAAACTTTCTTTTACCATCATCTCAGATCAAATCAAATGAAGACCTACTGTTAACTACTAAAATCTTAAAAAGAGCTCATGAACATCGGACTCAAAATTGACAGTTTTTTGCACTTGCAGCCTAAAAGGACCTTCAGGTTGTGGAGTGATGCGGGCTCACTGCGGGGTACGGCACAGAGAAGGGGCGGAGCGCACACACACATAACGTCCATCATTGGTGCAAGTTGATAGGTGACGGAAACAGCTACTTTTTGCACGATACATTGTGAACAGATGCACAATGTATCTGTCCTTTATCTGTGCTTTCAGTAGAAAGCCCAGCAGACAGGATTTAGGGGAGTTAAGGCTCCTCAAGGAGCTGACGCTCTATGACGACTCTTTCGGCTGTGTAGGGAACGATTTGACAGCCTGTTGGGGAGAGTTTCAGCAAGACTCACGAGAATGAGGACAAACTTCAGGCAGCCGGTCACTCTGGGGATTTGTCTGAAGTGGGCCTTGTTTGTTGTGATCTGATCTTCCATCTTATTTGATGTGCCAAAGTGTTGGCACATAGCGCTGTGCCTACGTTTTGAATGTGTCATCAAGTGATCCATATAATTGATCATTTTTTGGTGGATAATGTACCAGACAGATGTCCCATTTAAGTGATCTCTTCAGTGCTTCTACCTGTTGTTCAATCTGGTCTGACGGATACATTCAGGGTTACATGAGATCACTTCACTTTTCTTATCGTGCTGCTCTGACCTGACTGAGGCTGTTCAACATTTGAAGTACATCTGCCAGCCGGTCAATAAATGAGGCCTTCCAAAGGTCAAGTACTGAGGGTCCATGTACAGTACAGGCTACATCACGTCTCAATGTTATCTAAGTGATGCTTAGGGTTCACATTAACTGCAGGTAGAAAACATTTACACGAGGTGGAATGACATATACTGTCACACACAGGGTCAATTTACCATCTACAGTGTAAGGCCCCGTGTCCACCTGACGTTTTTTTCTAAGCGCCAGGGTATTTTTTTCAGTTGTTTTTTCAATGAGGAGAGAGCGTTCTCACTAGAAGGCGGCCGACTGGAGAAAAAGCGCAGAGCCCAGCGTCTTTTTTATGGAGCGCTCAGCCTTTTTTGTGCGGCCACTCAGAGCTCTCAAGTTGAAAATCTTTCAACTTTTCAGAAAGGCTCTGTTGACGTCTCCAGCGCTCTTTTACAAATGTTTAATATTCCCTGTAGTTTAGCCGCCTACGGATCATGTCTTGTACCAACATGCTCTTTGCTCCGTGTCTGATCCGGTAAAAAATCGATCTCAGATAAAACATGAGCCATATAAAACCGTGTCGGTCATACAGCGAACATTGTCAACAGACTGTTGTCATAGAGACAGGAGGGACGTGCAGCGCACAAACGCTTCATGCAAACACTCAAGAGCGCACAGCCAGCGCTTTTCTCACTAGGTGGGCACGGGGCTTTACGCATAGTGTTAGTTGTGGGACAGGTTGCCCTGTCATCATCAGGAGATTAATCAGGGAGGGTTCAGCACCACACAACACAGCACAGGACAGCCAGGAAACGGTACCTCTCCATCGCGGTGGCTTCCTCCTGCTCTCTTTTCCGTCTCTTTCTTTCAGCAATGCCTCGAAAAGCCCTGCCAGGACGTCAAAGCATTTAGTGTTTTTTATGGGGAAATATAATTTTTTACTTTTTTTTAATGGCCCCTGAACTAGCACAGAAAGTTTTCGTCTGAACCCAAACTGACCCAAGGGGTAGAAACCCGTACAGAACTTACCTGAGTTACTGCAGAAATCCTTTACACAATAGTTCTGAAACGGTTTTCTGAGATCTGTGCTGCAGTAAAGAAGTCTGCAAATCTACAAATGGGGATCAGATTGATGCACATTTGTGTTATGAGCTTAATTGTGCAGGTTAATTATTTTGTACTACAGCAGTTAATGTGCATGAATTTGAATGAAGAAAGCCTTGAGATTTCCCTGATGCTCTTGCTTAACTATATAAAATAAAGAGATCTGTAAAACTGGTTCATTTGCATGTCTTGCAGACAAAGCTGCGACATTTGAACTTTTTACAAATCCGCATCATGATGCTGTATAATTTGGCAGCCTGTCAACCTATTTATTGCAATTAAACCAACGCTAATCTGATCTTGATGAGTTCATATATTTGGTAAATCAGATGACAAAAGACTTGTCAAAGACAGTTTTAAAAAAAAGGTCCCATGGCCAAGTTTGTCGTGCAGGTCTATCTGTAAAATCTAGCATTGCTGTTGGTCTGGATACTGCATAAGATTTGGGAGTGTAAGGCTACGTTCTTCTTTCTTACTTGGCCATGATAGTGACAACAGATGACCGATTTAAATCCCCTTCAGGACTAGTTGGGTTCGGGCATGATTTTAAGGTTCCAGTTTTGGTTACATTGGGTCAATGACAGCAGGGTTTAAGGTAAGGGGTTTTATTTCCATATGGGTTAGTAAGGGGGTTAGCTTTGCTGAGCGGTAAGAGTTAGCAGCACAGAGACGTTACATCCACCAGAGGCAAAGACAAGGAGGGTATTACTAAATAGTTGACGTACATACACACACACACACACACACACACACACACACACACACACACACATGCGCACACGGATCACAATCAACAAGGGATCAACAAGAAGAGACACTAAGAAGGTGTTAGCAGGAAATGCACTTTCCACTATTCAACATGGCTTTATGACATCATCACTTCTGCTGAGTTAGCCGATCCATTCCTACTACTTGCATTGTAAATTCATTTAAATATTCATTTTGAGGTACTCTATGTTGTGTGTGTCCATTATTTCCACAAGTGTGTCAGTGTGTGTGTCCCTCCCTCAGGGGACATGTGGTGGCTCAGACAGGTTGTCAGACTCAATGAGAATCATCTGTGACAACGTATGTCAGAGATTGACTGACAGGCAGACAGCTGATGAGCTCTGGGATGACGAAGAGAGCGCTGCAATTACTGGAGTCTGTGCAGTGCAGTGGACACAAAGGCCTCCATATAGCTGAGCCTCTGCACTGCATTCAAGTTACATCACTTTGTGCCCCTCATAAACTCCATTACTTTCTCATCCTTCTTCCCAGAAAAAGTTGAACATGTTCTAAGTGAGTCAGCCCGTCGCTCTCTCTGCCATCTGTCCTCTCCAGAAAGTCGGAGAGCTTGGAGCCCTCTTCCTTGTTTTTGGACTTAAAGCGATCCAGCAGATATCCATCAGATATCTGGCAAAGTTCTCCAAGAACAAAAAATAAATAAATTAAAGTGAAAACACACACTGCTCATAGCCACTTTATAAAATCAGATCATGTTCTTCTCAAATTACAAATGCTATTGCTCTTGTCAGAGGCGCTGCTTGTCAACAGGCAAGGCAGGCAACCCCAGACCAGCAGGGGGCCCCCCTGAGGGTGAAAAAGTTTTAACAACAGAAGTGGCTAAAAATGTTGAAAGTTTGCAATGACAGTCGGAAATTAACCTCCCTAAACTCGCCCCACCTGAAAGCCCTCACTCTGTTGCACTGCTTAACGTTTCGACTTCCGCTATTATTACACTATGATGTTTGTTCTTTGACAGTTAAACATATTTATATTTTGAAATTAAAAGGTTTTTACTTTTCTTTAAATTCATAAAATAATTCTAATTTGAACCTTGGCCATATTTTTTTCCCATTTCCCTTTTGTTGTTGGCAAAGTATTTATTACATAATGGTGATGAACCATAGACTGTAGATATTAATGTTTGAAACCTGAGTGACGTCACCCATCTGTTCCTGCAGGGGGCTCTGGAGGATCATCAGCAGCAGTCTCCATGTTGGAAATCCTGTCTCAGTCTAACTTTCAGTCAACCTAACGACAGGCTGAGAGCTGGAGCTGAGGCGGGGTTTAAACCTCTTGATGAACCGTTACATAATGCCCACCTGTCAATCATGTCAGATACGCGACTAACTATGCCTAACAAGTATCGTTCATCAAATAATAACACAGCAAAATTTTCGAAATTCAGCCCCGGGATGCTGGTGGGGCAGTGGTTAGTGCGTGCGCCCCATGTATGGAGGCTTTAGTCCTCCAAGCGGGCAGACCAGGATCAAATCCCACCCGTTGCCCCTTTCCCGGATGTCATTCCCCACTCTTTCTCTCTCTATCCACTGTCCTATCTCTCCATTAAAGGCACAGAAAGTCCAAAAAGAAATCTTTAAAAAAAAATCAATAATAATCACCCCCCCCCCGTACAGTGTGTGTCAGTGATGACAATAACTAATCAGACCTGTTTTTTTTTTTTTGTACCAGGCTGTAAACATGTTTATTTATGCTGTATAAACTGATTTTTTGCCAATCATGTGTATGTGACTTCCTGTGTTCCTGCAGCCAGCCTCTAGTGGACACTCCACGAACTGCAGGATTTTGCACTTCCGCTTGTGATGAACTCTGGTTGGAGGGGCCCCCTGTAAATTTTGCCTTGGGCCCCATCTGACACTAGAATCACCACTGGCTTTTGTGATATTGTTTTTAAAATACTTTGAAAAAGTCTCAGGCTGTGTCATTTAAAAAAAGAACTCTGTTATTTATGAAAGGTTTCATTCAAATACAGTATTTTCTCTAGATTTTCTCCAGGCCTTTTTGAGGGTCTGGACCAGTGGTTCTCAACTGATGGGTCGGGACCCCAAAGTGGGTCACAAAGCAGCTTTTTCAGGGTCGCTAATGTGTGCCTGGAAAAGAAAATTGTGTCAAAATGTCTATTAACCCCTTTTTACACATGTTTGTTTTGTTCCATTCCCTTACATGTTGTCTACCGCCTGAGATTCAAACTGCACAACTGTTCAATAAATAAATCTGATTGGTTGAAAAATATCAGAAATTTGGTTAAAGACTGTTCATGAAGAAGTTGGTGGTGGGTCATAAGGCTCATTTGTTATTTACCCAACGTGAGCGCTGGGAGATCCATGCATTGAGTTCTCGTCATTATTAAGATGATAGACAGTTTTACTTCAATGACCTTTCTGTGTTACTCATTTATTTAAATCGGGTTGTGACTCATTTTCACATCAGTCCTACACCTGCACTGCACTTCACTTTCATATCGACTCAACCTGAAACTTCAAACACCCAGTCCAGCAGACACTGAGGTTCAGGGGGTTAAAGGGCACAGCAGACTGCATAGCACAAAGCCACATGAGGAAGGAAAAATCAAAGGTTTGAGACATGTTAGCTAACTGATACAGTGAGAAAGGAAGAGCAACAAGGGAGAGGGAGTGGGGGCGGTTGAAAGAGTTACTCACGATATTCTACAGTCGTGGTTTGGAGGGCCGCCACATACAGACGAGAAGAAGAAGAAGAAGAGGGAACAAAATAAAAGAGAAGTTAGCAACAGGGCCAGCCAGATACTCACCACAAACACACCAGAAAGCTGCTTTATGATGCAGTGAGCCAAAAAAAATACTATCAGTGAGCGAGGACAGACGGACACATCCGATGGTAATGGAGGAAAGAAGTGAGGACAAGTGATGAGACACTTACTGAGCTGATCGAGGAGTGACCACATACAGTAACTTACTGTACAATGAATCAAACTGCAATACATCCAGCTTAGTCGAGGGGATAAGACCCTTACTAGTCTGCAACTGTAATCAAAGGCCAATAAGTCTGACCCTAATACAGACACAGGCAGACGGAAAAAGAAACATAGAGGACAGATGCTGACGTATGGATGGAGATGCAGGAACATAGGAGAGATGATTTGGCATGGCCGTCATCCTTCGCTCGATGACATTCAACATTATACGTTGAAGTTTAAATTTAGAATAAAATATTTAATTATGGATCTCTGTCAGAGGTAGATTTAAAGGCATCAACAAGTTGTAGTGACGTCACTTTTGAATTTACTTTAAGTGACCATGAAATGAGAAATTGGCAAAATCTTCATGATTAAAGCGAAGAGTTAGCAACAGCACTCGTTCAGTCTACATGAGGTTTGTAACACGATGAGTCGATCAGCATTTTTTTGTGTTTATTCGAATCCTAGTTTTTAAGTCATTAGAGTCAAAAGCTAAATAAGTTAAGCTGGGTGCAGCCTTAATGTTAGACACTGTAATTCATAAACACGTCAATTCATCAGACTCAAGAGTTTCTATCTTTTAATGTAACCGTGAGGAAAACGACTTTGCTGGAAGCAGATTTAGTTTCACCCAGTTTACATTTTTCAAGGTCACTGAAGCAAACGGCATCAGAGAGAGTACAATTAGTGGAGGACGATATGGGAAAAAAAATATCACAATATATTTATGGAAGGATCACAATCAGAATTTAATCACAGCACTTCTTCATGCTGATCTTAAAGACTTGCAAGTAACCGACCGGTTCAGCCAAACGTATTCCCCGGTACATTGTTTTTAAATAAATTTGGTCTATTTGAAATATGTCTTTGTCTTCAGCAACAACCTGTTGGTCAATGCATGAAGTAGATAAATATTTAGCAATAGTTGGTACCATCAGGAGAGGGGAGGGGTCTGGAGGTCTCCCACAGAACATTTTTATTACCATATGTTTTTTTAACTTGCATTCTGATCATTCTTCATGCACAGTTTGAGCGTTTTCTGCACCACTTTCAAATGATGGTTTGGTATTGTATCTTTTCATTGTGTCTTTAAATCTCCTCGGGAACACAGGAGAGAGGAGGGCGGAGATCATGGTGGGTGAGCATCGACTGTCTGAGGTTAGTAATTAATAGATCTGGGTGAGAGGGGATCATTAAGTAGTCGTGAAGGGAAACTCCAAAGAAACTTCATTTTCCATGTACTGTACAAAGGAACTGGATGAGGAATAGATGAAAATCCAAAGGTTAAAGGAGAACATTTAATAAGTCATTTAATTTGAACTCAATGATTATTTAAAAAAAAAAATTACAAATCTCTCTCTCTCTCTCTCTCTCTCTCTCTCTCTCTCTCTCTCCTTCATTGGGTTGCTGGGTTTTGTTATTTTAGTTTGGGCTGGAGATCAGCGGTAGTCCTATTTTCTTTCTTTTGGTTTGTTTAGGTTAGGATTTTCTTTTTTGGAAGCTTTAGGGGGGTGCCTATTCCGTGGTTGGCTCGGCTTCTTCCCATCTTTTTTTTCTTTTTTCAGCTCCTCTTGTTTCTTGTGTTTCTTATTCATCTTTAACTACTTTGGGGGGAGTATATACATTAAATAAAGCTTGGGGTTACATTTTAAATCTGTTTGGCGTCCTTTTCTGTCTCCATGTTTTGAGCCTTTGAGTTTAGTTATTTTTGGTTCAGGAGGCGCTAGAGGTTTTCAAACATAAAAATAAAAGTATTTTGAATATCCTTTTCATGCGTTATTTTTTAAATATATTTCATCAAATGGAATAATTGTATTCTGTCAAATACTGACAGCGTCTGAAATCACATGTCAGAGAGGAGCCTGACAGGCCAGTGTAAAAGAGGACAACTACAAACCTTTAATACTGAATTAAAACATTCTGTGCTGGCTTTAAAGTGTCGTTTGAGCAGAGACTGGAGAACATGTGAAAGCTCATTAAGACTCTGTGTTCGAAACGCTGAGCTGAAAGTCCTGGAACGAGAAAAGGCTGAGCCGCATGCTGCCAACGCTGGCGGTGCAGTATGACCGTGTGATGAACAGAGTGGGAGTGAAGGCGGATTTCCATGTCATACTCACGCCTGCATGGTGGTGGTGGCTGTCTGAAAGCTGAACATATTCTCTTTGGGGAACCAGCTATTAGGATTGTCTTCTGTAAACAAAGAGAACACAAGAAAGGTGTGGCATCAGCAAGCCAGCAATCCAAGAACGTGGGGGGGGGCTACAATTAGTGGAGGAGGCGACTGGATGCACAAGAGTGTGAAGACTTTGACACGTCTATTGAATGAAATACACCGTCTCCTGATGTTGTATTTCTTCAGCCTACAATGTATATCATATAAATCTAGACATCACAAACGGTTTGAACATAATCAAAAAGATCCCCCATCTCTTCAATTTTCATGCAGCATCCATTTTTTTACCTCTGTCATCAGTGGACCCTCTGTCCTCGCTGTACATCCTCTCCAGTTTCTTGCGGGGCTTCCCACCCTCCCGGGGTGGAGTATCCAGGTCGAGGGAGCGCTGGCTTTGACACGGAGCCCGGATGCAGTCCACACAGTCCGGGGTGTACTCCTCCCTGGACCCCCCTCTCCTCATCCCCCAGTCCCGGATGTTGCTGGCGCTCCCAGAGCTCTGAAGTGGCTGAGACGATGACGGCGCGCCTCCTTGCTGCTGGTGGCTATGATGATGGTTGCTGCGGTGATGGCTGCTACGGTGATGGCCGCCGCGTGTGGCTGTTGCCGACGGCTGGCTGGTGCAGGAGGGGTTGTGGGATGCAGAGGTAGGGGCCTGGAGCAGAGGATGCTCCCGGGAGCCCTTCAGCACCTCGAGCTCCAGGCTCTCCTCACTACCGCGGTTCCCCAGGGTCATTCCTCCTTCCCTGGTGATTGTGTACACCCTGGCCGGCTTCACCAACACACTACCCTCTGTGCCTCTGTCCTCTGTGGAGAGGCTGCGCTCAGAAGAGAGTCGTCGTTTGTTGGGGCCAACAGGAGCTTCAGCCTGGACAGTGCTGGCCTGAGGCGGAGGCGGTGGATTAGCACTGGGATTGGATTGGCAGGGCTGGTTGGTTTTAGTTATTGGCAAACCGCGGCTCTGTGGAATATCGTTTTTGTGCAAGCGGCTGACGTCTGGAGAGTCGCAGTCCTGTCCAGGAAAGGTGTCAGACAAAAGATGATCTGGAGATAGAGGAGAAAAAACAACAGAACAAACGACAAGAAGTGATGTGAAAGCTGACAAAGCCGCAGATAATTGTAGTGTCTGTAATTTATGCAGCCTTTGTAAACAAGTATCAAATAAACCCAGGAGTCAGTCCTGCAGGTCATAAAGGAAGCTCCATACAGATTAAGCAGCTGAGGTGCTGCAGGCGTGTAACTCAGTGTAGACTCATGGGAATGAGTGTCTATTTAATGCAATCTGTGCTGTGAGTCACTGTCAACAGAGAGTGATACTGCCTAACTGAGCAGAAAGCCATAGAAAATCACATTCACAGTCCAATTCTGAGATTTGTTTCAGTGGCATTTCTCCTTTCTAATGCCTGTCCTGTATAAGATTAAAGTAAAGACTTTATTTAATAAGGACCTCGCCCCTTTGTTTGAAAATTGAAGCAGATGCAGAAGTGCCTCATACTTGAGTTTTTATAACATTGTGCATGGGGCAACTAGACCAGATGCAAACTCCAACAAAAAAAAACAAGTCACGCAATTCTAAATCGAAACATTTCCCTTGAGTTCACGGTCTCATCTGCTTCATTGAATTCTACCTCAATAAACCGAAATATAGAGTCCCATACAGAGATACTTCATAGTCCATTGTATGTGGTGACTTGTGATATAAGACTGTCCCAACAGGATACTGGTGTACATATCCTCTCCTTACTCCAAATGTTCTTACGTCTGGCTCCAAAAATGCAATCAAATTGGTCGGTCAATAAGGACCAGATTGCATAAGCAGAGGCTTCAAAAGTTGTAGTTTACCCACCAATGGGTGAAGTCACAACGTCAACGTCCACTTCTCTTATACTGTACGGTCAATGCCATAATTCTGAGTTATACCTCTAGGTTGCACTGCAGAGTAAATCCCTACTGTAAGTCCTTGCAGAAATAGATAATGTCAAAACGTGAAGCTGATTGGTAAACTTCTGCACTTATTAATCTGCAAATCTAACTAACCATCACTTGTTTGCCTGAATAATAAGAAGCAAAAAAACAACAACAATAAGTTCAAAGTGAATGTTTTTGTACAACTCAAGAGAAACTGTACTTTCCCTTGCTGGGACATGATGCTGTTATTTATTTCAGATTTTATTTTTTTGGATGAAATTGGTAACACCTGAACCTGCTGTTCCTCGCTGATGCTCAGTGTTGTTAGAATCTGATTTTATTTTCCCAAAGTCTGTGTGCCACCTACCTGCTCCGTTGCGGTTCTCTGTGTTTGTGTTGGACAGGTAATCTCCGAACGCTCTGGCTGCTCTGTAAAAAACACAACACAGTGAAGCGGTTAAGATTACAGCACAACTACTTATGTCCAAACACAGAGACATCAAGAGTCAAGGACTCACAAGATTATTCTTCACATAAGCCGTCCGTCTGAGCTTTCTTAGTGAATATGGCCTTGTCATATCAGACATTACATGCCTCAGCAGCACAGCAGACTGTAGAAAGAGTCTCACTAAGGTAACATTATGTTCCCATACAGGGACTGGAGGTAGGAACAGCTTGGAAGCTACAGCTTGTCTGAGGCTCCATAGGGGCAGTGACACAGCATGTGCCAGCCATAAAGACAGGAAATATGTGCAGGCGTGACATATCATCAGGAGAAGTGAAGGACCGGCACTAACGATGGGACAGACCGCCTGGTGTATAAAACACTATTTCATCTCTTACATAGTAGTTGCCCTTTTCTCTCAGGTTTTATCCAGGTGTCACTTGTTCAGCCCCCCCGCTTCATGGACAACAACCACAAAGATCAGAAGGATCATTCATCTAAAGCACGCCCACTTTTAGCCGTGGTGAAAACCAAACATGTGTTCAACTCTGAGCTTCTCATCCACAAGGCCTTCATGATTCATTGTTTTAAAAAAAGCAAATCCTACACAGCACACAATTGGACCAATCACCACTCTCTTCACCTTTAATATGTATGATCAGACAATCAGAGTCATGCCAGGCCCAGGAGAGACGACAAGTGCTCTGTACCAGAGCAGATGAACAACAAACTCCAATCTAAGCTATTTGTCTCAACCATCCATTTTCATCAGAAAAAGTCCAGATAAAAGTCTCCTTCCAAGATAGCAAAGGGTTAAAAATTAAGCCTGAACTGGTAAAAAGATAATTTCTACCAATGTAGCAAGGGTGGGGGGTGTGGTCACACCCACTCATTCCTTCATAGCGTCAACATCACCCGCACATCATACAGTATACGTATGCTACACACACACACACACACATACACACAAACAGTGATTAGCAAGTAAAGCTAGTTATTCAGAGCGACTACTCGAGTAGCATCAATGACACTTTTTGCGACAGAAATAATGTTTGAAGTGGAGGACTTATCTCCTCCACAATCTCCTGTAAACCACGACCACTGCGGACAACAACAGAGCCGTATCAGTTTGAATCCGTTTGCACAGAGAGGGGCAGGAGAGGATGGGTAACGTCTCTAAATGGGTCGGTGACAAGAGTTGGCACCACATATGTCACCTGTCTCCAGATCAGCCAAGTTATGGGAAAACATTTGACTCACACCAGCTGAGTTTGGAATGACATCATCGTTTGTTTTATAGTCAGATACAGACTGCTCCTGCTGACCAACATACTGACATACTGACTATTCATGAAAGATATAGGCCACACACACACACACACACACACACACACACACACACACACACACACACACACACACACACACACACACACACACACACACACACACACACACACACACACACACACACAAACACTGTCCCTCATCATCAGCGTGTGTGCATGTGGAGCAGCATGAAGAAAAAATAAACAGGCTACACACATACTAAGGCACAGCACGCTCTCAGGGGAACGGCGTTGAAATGGAATTGCTGTGTTGTTGCTGTACCATATATGCCATCCTGCTACAACACTCTAAGTAATTAAATATGAGGCGGCACGTGCAGCCGTGGCTCTCCCCGTGAAAAGCTCCCCATCCAGCCTAAAACAAGAGAGAGGAGGAGGAGGGAGGAAGAGGGAGGAAGAGGGAGGGAGTGGGGGCACAGGAAAAAATGCAATCATCTCTGATCTATCTGCCTGACTCTGTGCACTTCTTCCAATAAAAATTCCATATGCTTTTTATGCTGAGAGGGAAAGGGGTGCCAAAACACGTTGCAGCTCACAGAAGACAAACGCAGCCGCCTTCCACGCTAACACAGACTGAATGTAAAACAATCAAACTCTAAATTTTTGCTAGCACTGTTGGTAAAGTTGATAAATCATTTCAAATAGTGTAAATGAGGAATTAAGATCTAGTATGACGCACAAGAGCTGGTAATGCTGTGTCAGGTCTCGGAGAGGGTAAATAATTCAGTTTGCCCTAATTAACCAGAGAGACACATAACAGATTTATCTATTGTGTGTGTGTGTGTGTGTGTGTGTGTGTGTGTGTGTGTGTGTGTGTGTGTGTGTGTGTGTGTGTGCGTGTGCGTGTGTCTGTGTGTTTCTCTGCACTGCATGTCGCAGCTTAAAAAAAACTAAAATAAACTACCTTTTAAAATATCCATATCTGTATTAATTTCATGCTTTCCATCACAGGGTGTGACTTGTAATGTTTTACCAACCAAAATAATAACACAAAATGTATCTTAGTTAAAAGCGTTCTGAGGATCACACGAGACATTTATACATTTATATCCCAGAACACAACTCACAAAGACACCTTTATGGCACAAGCGACCCTGACCTTTTAATGTGTAGCAATCAAACTCAGATGAGTTAAGGCTCGAGTCCAAGAGGGCGTCTGTGTCAAATAATAGGCTTATTCTCACCACTGTGTCACAGGAATTAGATCGATAAAATGTCCAGAATAATGTTTATCATCACAGTGCAGTTTGTCTTTGACCTTAAAAACCGTCCCCACTTCATGTTATGATGCGCAGATAAACTCTGGGGTTATGGTTAATTTTTTTTTATTGATCTTAAAGGCACAGTATGTAGATTCCTCCATCAGGGGGCTCTAAATCAATACAATAACAAAACTCTGAGTCAAGATGAACGGGTGAAACCGACCGCAGGAAGAGAATATGTCTAACGACCAGCTAATGTATCCGAGTATAATTCACATGACGTTTTTATCACAGCAGCACATACAGCAACAGTATGGCAGCTTTCAGCAGCAGCTCCTACTTCCTTATGTAGCTAGTCATAAGCCACGTCCCGTTACAACTATAAAATTATGGATTTCTCTGGCTTTGACAACTGTTGGGAATATTTGGGGTAATGTAAGCACTCAACTTAAAAAATATATAACATAGGTTTAGTCCATTTTTTGATTCATTCAGATATTTTAATGTTCTCATAAAACTCTACCTATTGTACGCTTACAATATTTTTTGTGCATCTCTGAGTCCAAGTGGACATGTGCCAATTTCAAAGATAAACTCTCCAGGTGTTCCGTAAATATTGTTTTATGTATAAAAGATGCAGAGGCGGAAAGATGACTCTGAAAATTATGTTTGCATATCTGTTAGTTTATAAGCCCACAAAAAGATTCTCCCTCTGCTTCTCTTGAAGCGCCTCCACAGCCGGAGAAAAGGCTCTACATAAAAGTGCTTCACAGATACGCTCGGTCATGTCTCACTTTTTAAATGTATTCATTTTTTTTTTTTTACCCCTGAAGACTCTACAACACAAACCATCTAGCACTGAACGTTTTACACATTTATTATACATCACGGTTTGTTCCTGCTGAGCAGCGTCCTGTGTGTTATTCCTCATCTCCACACAGCCACCGCGCCGGCATCTTTTTTCCCGGTGTTTTGAGGGGATTTATCATACAGCATGTTTTCAGCCATGTGACATGAGGATGGGGATTGGGTGGGGGGGGGGGGGGGGGAGTAGGAAAGAAATAGCTCAGCAACAAGGGGGGAGATGTGTTTATAAGACCGAAATAGAAAGTATGGAAGGAGAGGAAAGTGGGATGAAGAAGGGATGCATCATAGCTAAGAAAATAGCTCAGAATAAAGAGGTGAGGGATGATTGTGTGGTCTTATGAGCTGGTCACTGCAGGCTCTTTCTGTGTGTAGGGTGAGTGTACAGTATATGATCACATAAGGATGGTGCAGGGTATCTGCTGCCTGGGGACACAAACAGAAGAGCCACTGAAGCACACACAGGAATAAATTCTGAGTGGTTCTGCTTTTGTCCCTGTTCTTATGTCGTATATGTAACTTCAAACATCAAAACAGGAGTAAATAAGAGGTTATACAACACTTGAGGACTGTTAGGTTTAAGTCCCTCAGTAATATTTTACTTACTTCACTTCAGGTGATGCCACTCAGGCCTCATAATGATACAGACCATCTCGTAGTGAATTCATTAGCAGGGTTAATGTGAGCTGTTAGCTGCTACACATTTCAGGTTAACCGCCACTGTTCTTTATTGTGATCAATATAAACATAAAGTGTTTATGTTCAGTGTTAATAGCTTTAAAGAGTTAGTTAGTCCATCCATCCATTATGTCGACCGCTTTTCCCATTCGGGGTCGTGGGGTGTGCTGGAGGCGATTCCAGCTGTCATTGGGCGAGAGGCGGGGTTACAACCTGGACTGATCGCCAACCAATCACAGGGCTGACAGACAAACAGCCACACTCACATTCACACCTACGGGCAATTTAGAGTCACCAGTTAACCTAACGAGCATGTCTTTGGACTGTGGGAGGAAGCCCGAGTACCTGGAGAGAACCCACAGATGCAGACAAAATAAATGAATGCCGGAAGCCTTTTTTATCATTGTCACCCCTGCCCCTCAAATATCCCGAGTCCACCAGTGATGCTGTCAATCTCTTTACTGACCAGCTACTTATACTCCCTTTTAAGGGGGGCACCGATGTAATTGGCCAATCACAAACAGGTTGTTGACCTTGTGTTTACCAAACCACCAAGAGCGTGGGCCGGGCTTTGTTGCAAACTGGGAGGTAGTCATATACCTTGTAATTTGGTATGTGACTGGCTAAAAAGAAGTAAGGATAAAGTGTTAATAAGAGGCTCAAAAGGAAAGATGAGGGGGCATGAAATAAGACTTAAATTACAACCACAGCAAGGGAATGAGCCTCGCACAAAAGCAAGTTAATTGGTAATTCATGTTTTTAATTTCTTTCTTTTTCATCCTTCTGTTTTTTATTTTCATGTAGCAATTGAAGCTGCATTTCTAATAAACTGCGCACTGCAACCTTACGTAGTGTGTGGCAATAATTGTTCACATACTTGCCTTCAAAGGA